TCTTCTTGGAAAGGCCGTGATGGCCGCGTGTCGCTACGAAGGGATACAACGCGCTATATAAAGACAGCACAACAAACGGATGAAAGGGGCGGGAGGTTATCGAGTCAACTCTGCACACAAACGCACCTGAATGCTCGACCTCCGTCGGTGCTGGGACCTCAAGAACACGATTGGGACCAAAACTCTGTCCGTACCTCCCGTACCCCAAGGTGATTACCCGTGTACCGCCGCGTGGCATCCTGTTTGTGCAATCATAGGAAAGGAGCCAATCCATCAAGCATATCCGGTGTTAAAACGGTACTCGCTACGGTCGTCCCGGACATCAAACTTGACAGTGCTCGTACTGCGGCCATGTATCATACGCCAGGGGGGTATGAAAGGATTTGTGTCGTTTGTGCGAGGACATAAAGCGTGAGACAGAGCTTGAGCACTAAATGTTGATCGGCCCATATATCCTCAAGACCGCCAAAATGATGAAGGCTCCCTCCCAGCCCCGAACAGCCTGACGTATGAAAAAATATCGTATTCTTTACTTGTCTCTTTCCTTACACCTTCTTTCCCGCAAAAGGGCTACTCTCTCACAGCACTTACTCCTCCTCCTGCAAGCGCGCCTTCCTTCACGCGCAGCAAGTCATGTTTTCGGCACACATGCACAATCTATGTATTCACACCGACAAACATACACTCTTCTTACCCATCTGTCACTATGTGTTTCACTGACATGCCCGCGTGCCTGAGTCCAAACCATCCTCGTCAAAATTCATCCGCCCGGCAATCATGGACGCCGCCCGAGAGGAGGCATTAGTCGCGGAGGAAACAGAGGACGAGGGCGAAGACGTCGATCCTTCCGCCCCATCCCGCAGCTGAGCCACTTCGAGCCGTTGTGCGTTAGAGTCCTCTCCTTCGTCTGAGGCTTCATTTGTATCCCCCTCCATGGCAGGAAGAGCCGCTTGATACTCCTGTCCGATGCGCACATGCTGCGGGGCGGCAGGAGGCCGCAAATATTTTTTCCCCCCCCCTCCTTCTTCCGTGTCAGAATCTGAGGTATCGTTGGCAGTCAGTTCAGTGGCCAAGGTCCTCGCCGGTTCCAGCTGTAAACGTAATAAAGGACAGAAATGAGAAGCATTACGGGTGATGAAAAGGAAGATTACCGTGCTTTCTGGGTCGACAAGCTCCTATGAACGGGCAATCCAATGAGGGCGTGATTCTTGTAGTCCATCGACTGACAGACCTACGTTTGCAAAAACGAAGCATCTAGACGTGTCAATATCCCCTCTATAAGATGAAGGTTGCTTACATCCTGTGAAATAGAAGCTCTCGTCGCTGCAGCTGCTGCTGCAGAGGCGCGCATCACTTCCAAGTCGTCCTCCATGGCTTGTTTTTTGGAGTGTGTTGTTCCCTCGGAAGATGCTCCTTCTCGTTTCTTATTCTGGCTTTTCTCGCTTTCTTCTTTGCTCATGCCAGCTTAGTAGCCAAGTGAATTTCCCTGTATATGAAGGGGATCACAAGGACAGGAGCGTGGTAATCCTGTAGGAGCGGAGTACATCGCGTGAGAAACTAGAAAAAATGATGTCTGGAGTAGCTTGTGAGGTTGATACCCAGTCCCCCTACTTAAATTCAGCAAACGCACATTCTTGGGGTCGTGGAATAATTGAGGCCTTTTCCATCACATGGAGAAGGGCAGAGAGTGAGGTCTTTTCCATCACGTCGATGACGCCCCCCGAGCTCAGCCGTTAAAAAAGTCCAACAGCTTGACTTGTGTCGGGGTGGTTATTACATTTTACAGACTCTTCCAAGATGTTCTTCGACTTCCTAAAACGGTCAATGCGAGGACATTGAAAGAAGCATCAAAATTTTACGGGCTTTAAGGCAATTATGTTCATCAAATATGACTTTTTAAAACTGGGCCATACAGAACCCGGAACGTACTAGCAAATGCTCATCGCACGATGATTGGGGATTCATGGCGTGTGATCATGACACTTGAAAACAATGCACGCGCGATTTGATATATCTTATGACGGGCTCAATTTCTTATTCGAAATTTTGGGATGTAGTAAGGATACATATACACAGCTTCGGCAGCAACGAAAATCAAGCCCTTGGATGGAATGCAATGAGTGAATCGGGCACACCTGCCGTTCCAGCGACAGATAGGTCCCAAAGTGATATTCAATGCCCAGCTAGGCCTCCTTTCGCGTTGTCTATCTCGGACTGCAGGCAGGCCCATGAGAAAGATCCTGCAAGGCGCTTGTCCTCGACACTTTCCACGGTAAACCATGAAGCTGAACAATACCTTAAAAACGAACGCCAGGGCGTGACTATCCGGCCGACGTGCTGCGAAAGACTCAAACAATGGGCGACCACCGTGGTTGATGTACGCATTCCCTCCATTCCAATTTCGCATTGGTTACCCAAGTACAATTTTCGACGGCAGCTTGTTGACGATTTGAACGCAGGTTTAGCGTGTGCAATCACCTTGATTCCTCAGGGAATGGCATATGGAGCCCAATTAGGTGTTCCTGTCATTCATGGCCTTTACTCAGCGATATTTTTCGGGCTGGTGTATGCTTTCATGGGCACGTCGCGTGAGACTTGTCCCGGAAACTCAGGTAAGTGCCTCTCACACATACAATACACGTGTCCAGCCTCTGAAGCCGGAGATGGTCCATGGCCTCCATCCATGTGCCCTTGATCGTCAGAGAAGTTATTCGTGGCACAAATGGAGAGAGAAATAAACGTCGAGGACTCATCTTTACCCCGTATAACCTACCCATTTATTTCTTTCCCTCTGTAGCCCTCGTTACCTTGATGGCCGCTTCGGCGATAGACGTGGGATCGCCTGTGCTCTCAGACAGTAAAAGCAGGCTGATTGCCGTCCTCCATTTCACATTCCTGGTGGGGTTCTTGCAATTGGGCTTCGGTGTTTTTCGGATGGGAGCTATCGTGCACTACGTCTCGGAACCTGTCTTGACGGCATGCAGCAGCGTCGGCATCGTCATCACGGTCATCTCCCAGCTAAAATACATGCTGGGGATAAATGTGCCATCCTTTCGATACACCTTCCAGACGCTCAGGTACATCACTTTCCACCTCTCTTCCACAAACCCTTGGGAACTCCTGATCGGCATCCCCGTTTTGGTCCTTGTCTCCGGCGTCGCGGCTTGGAAGAAACGTCCGCCCACGGGCACCAACTGGGACCGGTTCGGCCGCCGCCTGGCCATCGCCTTGCCCCTCCTCGTAGTTCTCTACTCCACCATCCTGGCTTACCACTTGTACGAGCGACACCACCTGCCCATCAAACTGGTAGGTCGCCTCCCCACAGGCTTTCAAACCTTCCCCGCCTGGGATCTCCGCCAGGGGGATCTCTCCAGGTATGCCACTTCCGGCTTGACCGTTGCCGTCGTCTCCTTCCTCCTCTCCTATTCCTGTCAAAAGTCTTACGCCCACAAAGGCCGGTACGAGGTCGGGGTCGACCAGGAACTCAGTGCCTTAGGTCTGAGTAACATGGTGGGCTCATGCTTCGGCGGCTTCGTCGCCGTCTCCAGCTATGCGCGGGCCTCGGTCAATTACGAAGCGGGTGGACGTACCCAGATGTCTGCCCTTGTAGCTTCCACCTTGGTCATCGTCGTCGTGCAATGGCTCTCTCCTGCGTTCTACTACGTGCCCATGTCCGGACTCGCCGCTCTACTCTGCGGAGCCCTGGTGTCCTCCTTCACCGTCCAGCCTTTTTTCGAGACGTACCGGTCCAGCCCCCGAGATTTCTTTGTCCTGGTGGCCACGTCTATCGTCATGTTCGTCGTCAGTGTCGATACGGGGATCTACTCAGGCATCGGCCTCTCCATCTGCAACCTCCTCCTTCAGTATTCCTACCCGGATCTAGAGGAGTTGGGTCGACTCTCAGGCGCCCCCGGCAAGTGGCGGGCCGCAAAAAGGTATCGGCACGCAGTCACACCCCGAAACATCCGGGTCTTGCGTTTGGACGAGGCCTTGACCTTTGTCAACGGAGACTTTGTCACCGGCCTGCTCCTGCGTGCGGCCAAAACGATGGAGGCGGAGGCGAAGGGATTGAGCGGTCCCGAAGCCTCCATGCCACACGTGGTAAAGACAGCCCCGCACATGACCAGCCTGACGGTCGTATGCGCGTGTACACATGTGCGGGGACATGGCAACACGACTCGTGACTGGATGCCTGGCTGTCAAGAAACGTTGGGCAGTGAAGGTGTGCAACGGGGAAGTGCCGGCTGGACATCGCCCACGGCGACCACAATACAGGAAATGGAGTCTCTACGCGTCGCCTTGCCGGATGATAACCGCACAGACAGCCTCGCGTCACGGTGTCTTCCCTTTCAAAGAAAGAGAAAGGATGGGGACGGTCGAGAAGCCAAAAAATGCTGCCATCTCTTCATTGTCCTGGATGCCTCGGGCATAAATTTCATGGACTTCAGTGGATTGCGTGCGCTTGGAAAAGTTGCCAAAGATATGCGAGATCACGGCGTCCGCCTCCTTATTGCCCAAGCCAAAAGCCGCCTGCAGGACATGTTGCAGACGGCTCCCACGCTGTACCACGATGTGGGCGGGGACAAAATAAAACTCTCGCTCGAAGATCTCGTGTACCTCCTCGAACGTCATGAAATGCGACTACACGGGTCCTTGTTTGCCTCCACGCGTGAAGACGGAAACAAGCCTCAGAAAGTAGCTGCTGGCTGCTGAGGTGCTGTCATGGGCGGTAAAGTTATCTTTGTAGTGTGTGGGTGCTTTTTTAGCAAATGGGGAAAATTATGTACCATCGACGTTTACAGCCACAAGAAACTAATCGCAGCCTTGGCCCCCTACCCTGGCAACTCTACTAAAAAGTATATCGTTCCGCATTTTCCCATGTAAACAGATGATTGGCTCAAAGCTGGACCTCTGATAATAATGTTAGGGATAATGTGATGGACGGCATGACTGTACGTTGCCTGGACATTTATGTTTTTCCCATTATAATGCACTGGAATTGCAGAACTTTGCCTGAAAGCAAGAACAGACAGTACTTCTCAATCGATTGAGACATGTTGCCACGTCAACTTAAAAGGCATCTATTTGCTGCGCGGCTGCTTTTCATGTACTCAAGGCCGTAAGATGGAACAACCTCCCCGCCTTCAGGCTGTCGCCAAGAAAACGTCACGGCGCGATAGATCCATTAAAAAAAATGTGGTACCGTTTGCTTTCACCACTGCCGTTGTTTCACTGCCCCTCCTCCGGCAGACGAAACCTGGAAGGATCTTCACACACACACACACACACATACACCTGTTTCACATGTACAGGGTACGCACATCAGTATTCCGCAATGGTGCAGCGGGAGGCGATGCCGGGCTTCTGGCAGACTTTGCTGGAAAAACGCGGCTCCAGCAATGGTGATGCATGCGTGATGCTTCCTCTACTTGCGACCATCCTATGCATCCTGGGAGGTAGGTCACATGCGTGTTTACATTGATGCCGTACATAAATCTGCTTTTTGTCGCCCGGCATGGCAAAGCCTAGGCTATCACTAGTACCCGGGGGGCTTCGACCGTGTCGGGATGGTCCTTGCCAGGCGGGATGGTCGATCGTTCAATCCACACCACGTTGTGTGAGCGAGTGTGTAGTCGTATATTAAGATGGCAATGTATGTGTATATGTGTGTGCACACACATCCCATGATCGATGTTCGTTGCTCTCCGGTTACACTACAAAGCGTGTGTGCTGCGTCTGG